ACGGGGACAGGGGCCATTACTTATGCCTCGAGGTTGTTTACCGGCCTGCTTTTTTCTTTTCCTTTTCTATGCCGATGCCGTGTCTAATTCTCTTTGCTTTTCTTTCCGCAGACGAGCAGGAGCGCGTGCAGAAGAAAACCTTTGTCAACTGGATCAACTCGTACTTATCCAAGGTGAGAGAAAACCATGTTCATTTCAACCTGCGATCCTCTTGAATGTCGTAAATGTATGATCCCCCGACCCCAAACGCACCGTTGTTGATATTGTCCCCGTTGTGGTTGCATGCAATCACATGCAAGTGCTCTTTCATTTTGGAGTGTTTGCATTTATTGATTGTACATGTTCTCCGCGACTGCGTCGCGGTTTGCATGCGTGCGGACGTTGCGACCCTCGCTCGCGACCAGCCGCGCCTCGCGCCCGTGTGCCGGAGGGTAGGCATCCCGTCCGACCGCCGCGCTTCGTGTGGCCTACGCCGCAGGGCGCGCCGCGCGAGAGGCATAGAGAGATGCTGACGGTGCACGAAATGCGCCAACAAAGTTTGCGTACACAGCCCCACAGCTCCCCTTCCCGTCCTTCCGAATAAAAAGAGAAGCAACGCCAACGCCGTCCCTAGATCATCGCAATATTGGACATGCACATGAAACGGACGGGACGCGAATGTACACGCCGGTGTGGTGGAGGTGCCCCCCATGCCCGCCCATGGGCCTGGGGAGGCGGCGCTTGCACCCCTCTGGCGTGCGCCCCTCCCCAGCAACGTCCTCGCGTGTATGGGGGCTGCCCGGGGAGGGTATTTACCTAGTCAGTAAGTCAAAGACTGGCAGGGGGAGGAGGGGGAGAGGCGACAAGAAGGCCGTCTGCAAAGAGATATTATCCTATAGCTGTATTCAGCGGGGGAACGAGCCTTTGGCGGGGAGGGTGGTTGCTACGATAATCAGATCACTATGTTAGGCAATCGGCTTATCGAAACTGAAACTTTAATCGCCAATGTTTGTTAAAACTGGAACGGCTAGCGGATAGAAACGGCCGTGAGGTACTGTCTGGAAAGATTCTGATCGCAAGGACAGCAGACAGTAGAGAGATAGGAGGTCCCCGTCGTCCCTGGATGGGAGAGGTCCGTAGGATCAGCTGGGCGCCCTGGTCGGCCGGGGCGGGCAGCGACCCCCTCCTTTCCCCCCACAGTTTAGTTGCGTGCCCCGGGGCCCGCGGCGCGGCGTGCCATGCCCGCCCTGCATCTCGCCGCCCTGCATGAGCGGCGGGGGCGGTGCAGGCCGCGGTGGCGCCCGGAAGGCGTGGAGGGTATGGAGCTCCGCGGAGCCGAGAGTTATCGATCAACGGATGGGCGTGGCCCGCGCGCTGCCCGCCGCGGTGGTTCAAACGGACGGTAAAGCTGCGTGGCGTTCGAAACGAAATGCTAATAATAAAAATTCCTTCCTGATTTTGTGCAAGGCTGTGTGCAATGTGCATGCCCCCGACTGACCGTCATCTCTTTACAGCGAGTTCCACCGCTTCGGGTAGACGACTTGATCGGGGACCTGCGCGATGGCACGAAGCTGCTCGCACTGCTCGAGGTCCTGTCCGGGGAGAAACTGGTAGGTGTGGTTGTGTTCCTTGTCCCTCCTGCACCTTGCAAGTGTCCTGACTCGTGTCCCTGTCCCTGCGCAGCCCGTTGAGAAGGGGAGGAACCTGCGGAGGCCGCACTTCCTGAGCAACGCCAACACCGCCCTGCAGTTCCTGCAGAGTAAGAAAGTAAGTAGTGATCAACCCTCAGCACCGCCTCCATTCATGCATTTGAAAAATGTCGTCCTTCATTTAACTCCCCCCCCCCTCTCTCTCTCCCTTCTTACCCTTTCACTCCCCTCGCAGATCAAGCTGGTCAACATCAACTCCTCGGACCTGGTTGACGGGCGGCCGCCCGTCGTGCTGGGGCTCATCTGGACCATCATCTTGTACTTCCAGGTACGATCGTGGGCAGGAGGCCCCCACTAATAGTCTAACACTTCTTTCGAAAATGACATTAACTTAAGGGTCTAGCCCCTCTTTCATTAAAACCCCGTAAGCGTCACGTTATCGATCACCTAATCAGATTATCTTGAACTTTGTAGAAAAATTGAACATGGGTTCACATACTTAAGTAGAGTCGTGTTCAAAATGCATTAATAAAGTATTCCAGCTCACTTGAAACAACCACCACCGTTGTGTTTGATGTAGAATTAAACCGTAAAAATAGTGTGATTGAATAAATAATCTCCCTAGTAGCACCGATTGGTTGAGGCGAGGGTGCCACCAGGGAGATCTCCTACGTTTAACCAGCCAGCTGGCGTTGAACGTATCGCGCACCCGTTGCTGCCCACTAACTACTGCTAACCTAAAACCAACTAACAATCGACTTGAAGTTGGCCTTAGCGCGTCACTAACCAAAACACCTTGCTTGTTTTCCCCACTGTCAAGCTCCGAAAGAGGAGACTCCATCAGAGGGTGAGTGTACTACACTGTGACCGAGCGTTTTGGTAGACAAAATTTCGCCCTGCTTTGCCGTAGTGTGTCGTGTAGTTTGTTGCAATGTCGCCTTGCGCTGCTTGAAGAGCGAGTCTTGTGTGTGCTGTATTTTGTTGGCCATGCAGGGTCACATAGCACACGAGCTGAAGAACGGTGTCGTTCGTTGCGAACTGTGTGTGTCGTTTTTTTTTGAGGGGGGGTGTGTGTGTTTTGTGTCGTGTGTGTGTCCGTCGTGCGAGCGAGCGAGAGACAGAGTACGTTTCATAAGAGACGTGCACTACCGGGCGCTGTACCCACTGAAGCATGAAAGGGTCAATTTGTGTCAATATTATTACATTTCTCCTTAATGTATCTAATGTAGAAAACAATTCTTAATTTATTGCCTCATTTGACGTGGTGGGCGTGACCCTTTCGTGCTCCCCGCGGCCGTGTGGTGGGACTGAGACCGAGCGTGCCCCGCAGATCGAGGAGAACACCCGCGCGCTGGAGTCGCTGGGTCACCGCTTTGGCGGCTCTGGCTCCAGCCTGGACAGCGAGGCGGAGGCGTCGCGGCGCCGGGCGGGCGGCGCGCAGACGCCGCTGCCGCAGGCGCAGCAGCAGCAGGACCGCTGGCGGCAGGGGGCGCGCCGGACGCTGCTGTCCTGGGTCAACAACGCCCTGCCCCAGGAGATGGGCGTCGAGGTGCAGGACTTTGGCAAGTCGTGGCGCGACGGCCACGCCTTCGTCGCCCTGGTGCACGCCATCCGCAACGACCTCCTCGACGTGGACGGGCTGAGGCAGGCCGCCAACCGGGTCCGTCTCGAGTCTGCCTTCGGCGCGGCCGAGCGCGACCTGGGCATAGCGCGCCTCCTGGACCCGGAGGACGTCGACGTGGAGAGGTAGGTCGCGGTGATCTCAACGCACTGGGCTAAAGTAAGTCTATTTTTGTAACCGATCTTGCGCCCTGCTTCAGGCCCGACGAGAAGTCCGTCATGACATACGTAGCCCAGTTCCTGCACCGCTACCCGGAGCCGCGCGGCGTGGAGGAGACGGTCCCGACCATCCAGTCCGAGTTCCAGAAGCTGTCGGCGTGGCTGTCGGAGACCACGGCCCGCCTGCAGAGGCTCATCGACACCGGCAGCCTGCCTACCGAGTACAAGGAGTACCTGGCCTTCCGCGACGAGCTGCTCGTCCACGCCGCGTCCTACGAGAAGCTGAGCAAGCTCATGGCGTCGCAGAGCACCGCGCCCGTCAACATGGACGCCTGGCAGCGCGTCGAGGACCTGTGGGACATGCTGGAGAAGCAGGTGCAGCAGTGGCTGTGGCTGCTGGACTCGCGCCTGCCGCCGCCGCTCGGCGAGGTGGGCCAGTGGCTGGCCAAGGCCGAGCGCCTCCTCACCTCGGACGCCACCGACATCCCGACCGTCATGAACGAGGAGACGGCCTCCGTCATCAGCCGCAAGCTGGAGGAGCACAAGGCGTTCTTTGCAGAGCTGCCCGCGGTGCAGGCCAAGTTCCAGGCCGCGCGCTTCGGGCCCGCCGCGCAAGGGGTGCCGCCCCAGCAGCTGGAGAGCATCGGCCGCCGCCTGGAGGAGGTGGGGCCCCGGGCCGCGCAGCGCCGCGTCAAGCTAAAGTTTCTCGAGCACAAGGTCAGTGAGAGGTGGTCATGCCACTGCATCCAAAGATGTCTCTGTGATCATTCGGTAATTAATCCATTTTGTTCGCGCAGTGCTGCCTCATCGCCTTCCTCAATCTCACCGAGACCAAGCTGCGCGGCTGGACCGGCAAGTACGGCCGCGAGGACCACGTCCAGTCGCTGCTCGAGCAGTACGCCAACTTCGTGTCGCGCAACCGCATCTTCCAGGAGTTCAACAAGGCGTTCGTCGACATGCAGCAGGTGGTGGAGGAGTACAAGAGGGAAGGGGGAGTGGGTAAGTGACGGTGGTGATGTGAGAGAAGAAATGGAGTTGTAACCTCGTTAGGCCTGTCGACTTCATCATTGACCTTTTCCAGATAAGCGCGAGTGTGCGGCCATCGACCGCTTCATGCGCGACACGGACGACCGCTGGCAGAAGGTGTCGGTGCAGCTGCGCTGCGTGCAGAACATGCTCGAGGAGATGGTGGCCTACTGGCGGCGGCACAACACGCTCTCGCAGGAGCTGCAGGACTGGCTGCAGCGCGCGACGCACGCCCTGCAGCGCCTGCCCGAGGACGAGCGCCAGAACTTCTTCCAGGACCTGAGCGTGTGGAAGGACAAGCTGTCGCTGCTCGTGGACACGGTGGGCTTCCTGACGGCGGCCTGCGACGAGGGCGTGTCGCGCGCGCTCCGCGACGCGCTGGCCGAGCTGACGGCGCGCTGGGACGAGGTGTTCCGCCACGTGCAGCAGTACATGCACGCCGGCGACCTGCTCCGCCTTCGCCGCGAGTTCCACGACGGCATGGAGCGCCTGCAGCGCTGGCTGCGCGGCGCCGAGACGGTGCTGGCCAACCTGCACCTGGAGCTGGGCTCGGCCGAGCGCATCAAGGCGTACGGCCAGGAGCTGCAGCAGCTGCAGGCCGAGGTGGAGGGCATGGAGCAGCTGTTCAAGGGCATCAGCAAGACCTTCCAGAGCCTGATCCAGGACCTGTCGCGCCAAGAGGTGGACACCATGATGGACACGCTAAAGAAAGAAAAGGGTGAGGCATTGCAGACTCGAGAAGTGATCGATTGCGTGTGACTCGTGTGAGTGACCTTTTCTCTTGTTTCCACAGAGGCCCTGGTGCGCGTGCGCGCGCAGATCCCCAACCAGCTGCACCTGTACCACCAGGTGCTGGTCCAACAGGAGTCTCTGGAGGCTGGGCGCAGAGAGATCTCCGCCTGGCTGAACGAGGCCGACGCGGTCCTGGGCGAGCGCGCCCCGTCCGGCACCCGCGAGCAGGTCCAGGCCCAGCTCGACCGCCACAAGGCCTTCTTCTCGCGCCTGCCGTACTACAAGTCGATGCTGGACAGCAAGGTGAAGGTGCTGTTCAACATGCTCAAGAGCGTCGAGGCCACGGCCGACGAGCACACGCAGGCCGGCGGCAGCGTGGAGCAGCTCAAGCAGGACATGACGGCCTTCGCCAACCGCTTTGCGAGCGTCGCTCAGCGCGCTCAGCAGCAGGACGCGGTAAGTCTGCGCTGGCAAATGAGTTCATTCTTGTAGGATTTATTTTGGTAGTAATGAAATTTGACAGAGTTTGCTCTAGGATTTTTTAAAAACAGATTAGATGTGGGTTTCTGTGTGAGCGCCTGGTGGTTAGGCAATGCGTGCGAAGAGAGGGTTAGGTTAGTGCCTAATTAGTGCAATCTGAATATCTCATCGGCAAATTTAGTGCGACAACCCGGTAAAAGGTCCATGAAGCTGGCCCTACCCAGATTTAGTGCAACTGCCCGTAGTACCCTAATCTCGTGTTAAAGAGCTCCATTAAGCTGGCCCCACCCA